CAGACAATCTTATGAATGCGATATCACAAATGGAACATTATCATTGTTATTAAATTAAGTATTAAAATAAACCTGTTTCTGAATCTATAATATCTTTTATTTCTCCAGCTGCATATTTTTTCGCTTGTTGCAATAGAGAGTATGCAAATATATGATCTGTAAAAAATTACAAATAAAATTATAATTGCATATACATTATAATTAATAATAATAAGTTTAAACACTTATATTCTGAATCAAATTTTGATCAAATATTATAGGTTATGTAATTTTTCTATTCTGAATTTCTGAAATAAAAGCAATTCGACAAAAACTTAAAATTCACTTCTTTTTGTTCTCGCAGCATCTTCCTTACACACTGTAATTTTGTATTCTTTGTTGTTTTTTGCATCGATTAATGTCAGTTCTTCCATGATCTTTGCCAGTTAGAAAGATATCTTTATTACGTGACGTAATTTACGTCATCTGCTTCACCTCTCTGACCGCAGTAACTGCAGCAGGAAGTGACGACAGAATTAATGATGTCATTGCTCTCTAATAGTACTGCCGCAGTATGCTGCCATGAATTTTGGAACGCAATTTGTAGCATTGGCAGTGCTGGCAGTGAATTTTGGAACATACCCAAAGTAAGTTTGTTTTCAAGTCAGTCGTACATGACTTTAAGATAGGCTTATTATTAAATATTATGGAATTAATGGAAGAAATTGATGATATTGAAAATATTGATTGATCGTGATTTTCAAGTAGAGAACGTGTACGAAAACGATACATTTGTGATGGACTTTAAAACCCTTTTATAATAATTTACAATTAAAAGACGCTATAGATTAATAAGGATTTCTTCTATATGGAATATTAACAAAAATTGAAGAAGGATTAGCAAAAATTAACAATCGGTCTGTCGGTTCCACCAGTACAATACAAATTGTTAATATGCTTAAGATACTACGCAACACACGCACGCACGCACACAGAGAGAGGTGTGTCTAAAAATAAATATAAATATATTAATAAAATTTATCTTTATTATTATTTTTTAATATTGCATTTACTGGATTATTTTCTTTTTCAGCATCATCAGTCTCATCACTGCTTGAGTCTGTAACATTCAATTTTGTCATTGTCATCAATTCTAAATTCTTATTCATAAACAAAAATATGTTAATACAAAATATCAATAAAATTAGTTATTTTATCATTTGTATGAAGTGTGATAATAGAATCATTATTAACTTCTTGGAAATCATCATCAATAAAGTCTATGCCCTCCACATTTTCAATTAATTCCTCAGGAATACAATCATTAATATTCTTTGTTGTCGTTCTGAAAAATATTTATTGTTACTATTTTTTCAATTTTTATTATAATATAAATCAATAAAATAACGATGAAATTACCTTCTAGTATTTTATCTGATAAATTTGATGAAAATAATGTTGGTGCAATTGTCATTAAATTGGGTGCTATTGCGGCAATGTCCGGATCAATCTGCAGATTTAGGTTCAGGTCCACCACCTGTTGATAAACGTGCATGTTTTTCCGTAAGGACATCTCTCTGTACTGATTTTAAATTACTCCATAATTTTCTAAATTGAACGCTTCTCTGTAATAATTTATTACACATTAAAATGTTAAAAATTAAATTACTTTGAATATAAAAAGTATTTAAAATCTAGCTTAAAAATGAAGCTATCTACCGCAAATATCATATTAGATTTTCTTCAGATATAATTAACATTTTTATTTTAAGCATTTAACATACCTAATTAGAAAAAATTTATAGATTTCTTATCTTACTTGTAACAATAGATATATGCATCGCAAGTTTGATTTCATGCTTCTTCTTTGTCTTTCAAAGTTGTAGCATCACTTTTTTTAAGGAGAATATTTTGTTAAAATTTTAAAGAAGAATTCTCTTCGGGATCTATATAATGTTTTTTGCTTGACATTTTTTTTTACAAAAAAGTTACTTTCTAACAATACTTTAGAGTCTGCAATAATTTGATACATGAATAAATGGTATAGACATACAACTCGTTAAATTCTATATTTAAACACATATTTCATTGGCTGATACATCAGAAAAATCCCGAAGATTACTGAAAGTAAATCAGATCATCTTAAGCACTAACTTCAGTAAAAAAATCTTAAATAAAAAGAAGTGCTTATTTCTTTATGAAGATCGTCTCATTTTAATTAAAACTATGAATGCATGAAGTCTCAAGTCATACTTATACAAACAAGACGATCTTAATCAAGAGAAAATCTTAAGACGATGTTTAAGCTTGGACTTATGAATACCGTCCAAAGTCAACTCTCTAAAATTTGTCTTTTTTGGATATTTTTTTTATTCCTTTGATTATTTTAAAATGTGTATTGTATAAGAAAATTATACTGATTTATTTGATTGTGGTAACTTTTAGGTATACTGCACTCGATATATTACATTTGTCAAAAGTATCAAGTTATTTTACGTTTATTGATAGAATTTTTGTGAAGATAGATCTAATATATAATGACTTTAGCATGTCTCTCTCCAGATATAAGAAAATATCTCAAGTAAGAAGAAACTACTTCTAAAATATCATTCAGGGTAATAAAAGTTTTTATTGAACAATATAATTAAAAAGAAATATTGTGTTATGAGCAATAAGAATAGTAATGTTATAATATTAATTTGTTGTATAAAATATTATAATCCTTTTAAGGTTGATTACGATAGTGACAGCAAAAAGAGAGTTAGAAAGAAAAAAAAGTTATTGTGCAACCGGCGCGCGGAAAGTCGCTTTTTGATGGGATTTTAGAAAGGGCTCTTTCCACGCACCAGTCACACAAAATATCGTAGCCAACATGTGCGGATCGTAAATCGACCGAGAGTGCGGAAGTTTGGCGCACGAGGCGAAGCCGAGTGTGACAATCCGCATGATCAGCTGCTGATCTCTCGGCTGAACTCGGCTTCGCCTCGTGCGCCAAACTTCCGCACTCTCGGCCAATTTACGATCCTCCGCACTTGTTAGCTAATATACTATTAATATATAAAATATATATTTAAAATTTTTCCTCTTTTTAATGATACATATTCTTGATATGGGCAATATAAAAATCACTTTCTGTTACGTAAATTCTAATTGACTAATGGGTTTATTTATGCTCGCATATTCTATCAAAGATTTATTTCGCCGTAACTCAATAACACTCCTTAGGGGTTCTCATTTTACTTTATTTAACTTCTTTTTCATTCATCCAACTCACTCATATGCATTTATTATAACAATAATGTTTAGACATGCATAAATCGTCGACATTGTATTTATCCGCTTTTTACAATATGCTACATTAAATAATAATATATTTAGACTATCTATATTTAGACATTCGCCTCTGCTTTTGAAATATTAATTCAAAATTCCAAATAAAATTTACCTAAATAGAATATAATATATATTTATATCATTAAATTTCGGGCGTTAACCTATCGTTAATTATAACATACAATATTCTAATTAAATATAAAATAATTTACATTTATAATATCCTATTTGTGGATATTCACCTTTCATTAATTGGTTAACTATTAGAGTTTATCTATTATACATTATAGGATTTTACAATTGGCCTAATACCCAAAATTGGTTACCAGGTTACTTATATATCAAATAAGTTACAAAATATTATCAAATCCAAACAAAAAATAATAATGAAAGGTTGTGCTATTTGAAGATAAAAACAATATTTTAATAAAAAGTTAGATATGTATTCGATACTTTTGTTTCGATACCGAGTACTTTTAGAATCGAATTTTCTTTCGATACATATATCGATAAAAAAGTACTTATTGGCATATCCGAGTAGTGAGTGAGTCACTAAGCCTGTATTTTTAGCTGAACTAGTGCAGTCAGTTCAGCTAAAAAGAACAGACCTACTATTTACTTCAGTGCTGCCGTTAGCTACATCTATCTGTTCGTCGGTCATATTGTTTGCTGTGGTTTGCAATCGTGCAGTGCGTGCTTCTTGTCAAAAGTTTATTAGTTTTTCTTGTTATCATGGCGCCGCCGAAATCTAAAGTATGGACATATTTTACAAAAGTGAATGACACCACGGCAAAGTGCAAGCAATGTTTTAAAAGTGTGAAGTTTTGTGGCAACAATATTTAAACACAATACTCACGGAATTGTTGTAAAAAAAAAATAAAAAATCAGCAATGTTTCTGAGCCTGATAAAACAAGTGAAAGGTATGTACCCAGCAAACACCGATATATAATTGTTACATTGCTATAATAAAACGGAGGTAATAACACGTGTAGTTACATGTAACATTATGTTGTAATTTTCATAGATTATACATTTTAATATAACATATATTACATTGTAGTTATATTGTAATTTATATATCAAATAGCACATTGATGTATTGATAATGTCAGTGCTATCTTGGGATATAATGACAATATAACTACAATGTAATGTAAATATGTAATATTAAGAGTGGGCATCTATGACTAACTAACATATACAGTTATATGTAACATGCTTAAGTATTATAACATTTATATTGTATTAATGCTGGGTATGTATCTAATAAAATTCTGAAACTTTAATATTCTTTGATTAATATCTGTACAGACTTCAAATTCTTCAAATTCTTTGCTTGTGAATTGATGTTGACCGGAAATTGTTACTGAAATATTACAATACACTAAATTAAATTTTATTTTATAAACTTGTTTATAAAAATAAATATAAAAATATATTTTACCTAGTATTCCCATTAATATATACTTTAAGCTACTAATTTTAAAATGATTTTGTAATCCTTTCCAATATGATTCTTTGGCAACTTCATTGGAAAATAAAGGTATATGCGAATTAAATTTTCCTTGGCGGACCTTCCGCCTATGCGAGATATATACAGCATCTTTAGAAATAAAACATACCAAAAATACAATTTCTATTGTTCTATTTAGATGAAATTTGTTGTACTCATCTATAATACATTTTCTGATAAACGGTTTTCAAAAGCTGTTACTTCATTTATATTTTTAAATGGAAAAAATTGATGTATATTTGATGTATCCGTGACAGATGCTTTGGATTTATGTTGATTATTTTGTTTTTCTATATTTGTTAAATGAACATTTAGTATTCATTCTTGTATTCCTAATGTAACTGTAGTTATAGCTGTATATATATTCTTAAAATGACCTGAAAAATTAATAGTATTGAATAAACAGTGCCAAAAATAGATATAAAGTATATTATAAGACAATAAGATTATAAGACAAAAATAAATACAATACCTTCCATTTTTTCGAATCCATCTGATATTAACGTATGTACATCCTGTATACCTAAAAATTAACATTAAAGAAATATTAGATTATTCACATAATAAACAATAATAATAACTGTAATAACTGTAATAAAAAAACTTATATTATGAAAATAATATAAGTAAATTGAATTAAAGAATTTAAAAATAAAAATTACTTTTAAGTGATACTAAAATTCCATCAAGAATCTCCAGGTCAATATCATTGCTGACAACTGATGAATTAATAACAGTTGCGATAGATTGACTTTTGTTAATTGATTGCGAGGCATTTGTATTTACAGTAAGATTTGGTGGATTTGGTATAACTAAACGTGAGTCATCAGAATCAGATTCTGACTCATCGTGAGAAACAGTTTTATTCAACTGTCTTGTGCGGACTTCTTTATTTCATTTATATTGCTTTCCTTATTTGAAGAATAGTTTGTTGCTCTCTGTCTAGCTTCTTCTAATAAATCTAAATTGAGACAAAATCGTATTTAGAAATTACATTATTTTTAAAAATATTAAAAAAACAATTTCATAAATTCTACAATAAAATATAACTTACCATAATATCCATGAAATTTAATGGGATAAGATTCCCATTTAGGATCATCAATAACAGGTGGAATTTGTTTTATAATAAAGGTATTTACATTTTTTTACCAACAGCCACCAGCATTCTTTTAAATTGGAAGAAAGCCATAAAGATGGAACTTCTGATACAATTTCTTCTTCATTATTTCCATCGCTTGGAAAAGTAACGACAGCGAAATTTTTCGCCATTATTAATAATCTGTTAAAAAATTAAGTAATTGTTAAGTAATTGTTAAGTAATTGTTAAGTAATTTAATATTTAATATTGTTTTTAATTATAGATTATATCAATATATAAGTACTCGCCATTAACATATTTCTTGTTGATGATAGATTAGATTAGATACGTTTATTGTTGCCCCAATTGGAGGTTACAAGGCGCTTTTTTCCTGTTTAAAGGAGCGATTCCAAACCTTTATGCGTTCATTTACATACAATCCTTAACCTATAACTTAAACCTAATTAATATAGACAATTATATATATAAATGATACGCTACGCCGCTCCGCTTCGCCGCCTACTACGCCCTTTCTCGCATTTCTACCCTATCTACTTCCTACCAACTCTTCCACACACACGACCTCTTTACCCTAGCCTTTCTTATCCTACGCCTTCTTATTTACTACTTTCGCATTCTTATGTATTACTTAACCTATGTGGGACCTCCGCTTCCGGTTACTGCTATCCTTTCTCACTTCTTTCACTCATTCCCTCTCTCTCCCTCTCTCTCTCTCTCTCTCCCTTCTCTCACACCCACTCTCCCCTCTCTCTCTTCCCTCAACTCTTGTCCTCCCTCTTCCCCCTTCCCTCCTTTTCCATCCTTCCCTTCCCCTTTCCCTCTTGCTTTCTCTAACCTTTTTAACCACATTTCCCCTTCTCCCTCCTCTCCTAGCACCTCTTTCACCATTTCCTGCCAGCTCTCTTCCCTTCCCCATTCCATGCATTCCTCCCACACATGCTTCCACGGAGGAGTTTGCTGCGGAGGAGACCGCGTTGGAGAGGACTGCGGCGAGACGGGATGCGGCGGTGCGAGGGCACGAGGGCGCCTCGTCCGCTCTCCTCGGAAATTTAGAACGCGCCGAGTTAAATCTTTTGCGGAGAGAGAAGGATCTGTGGGAGAGAGAGAGAGATCATTTTTTCAAAGGGAGAGAGAGCTGTTTCGCGGCTCTTCGGTGGCATCAGCGGGATCGTCCGGTGGTGAAAGTTTTAGGGGTGTCAAGGAGTTGTTGCCGGAATTCGACGGAAGTGAGAATACGTTTTGGAGGTGGAGGAGTCAGCTCGGACTTCTCAGGGACACCTATCGTCTTGACGAAGGCGCTACCAGGATCCTGATCGGCTCTCGTTTGAAGGGACGGGCATTGACCTGGTTCTACTCCAAAACCGAACACCTTGCATTGGGAATGGAGGAGCTGCTGGAAGAAATGGCGCGAATGTTCGACTTGCGTCCGGCGAGGATCACGCTCCGGAGAAAATTTGAGGCTCGCATGTGGAGGGGCGACGAGCCATTTAGCAATTATTATCACGAAAAGGTGATTCTTGCTAATCGTGTCCCGGTGGCTGAGGACGAGCTTCTTGATCATGTGATTGAGGGCATTACGAACGTGCAATTGCGGAACCAGGCGCGTCTGATGAGGTTCCGGTCGGGAGCGGAACTGCTGGAGGCCTTCGAGAGCATCGTGTTCGAGCGCAGAGACAGGATGATGGGGCCGCCCGGAGGAGCGAGACCCGCTGTCGGCGAGGGACTAGGAGCGGCGTTGGGCCCGGGACGGGCGGAGAGCCGGGGAGGCAGGGTGAGGCCAGATGCGGATGGTGGAGCCGGGCAACCGGGATTAGAGCGGACGCGGTGTTTCCGCTGCGGTGAGGTAGGCCATATCGCGGCACGTTGCGGGCGGCCGCCGACGGGTCGCGCGTGTTATGTTTGCGGGGCGTCGGGACACTTGGCGGCGGGGTGCCCTGGGCGTGGACGGCCGGCGGTGGCGGGTCCGACGGCGGGATCGACGGAGATCGTGTTGGCGGACGCGGTTCGGCCCGCCGCGCTTCCTGGACCGTACATTGTAAGTGTGGATATTTTAGCGGCGGATGAGGGCGCAGATTTTAATTATACCGACGGCGCGGTGGTTGATTCGGGATCACCGGTCAACCTAATAAGAAGTAGTAGCGTCCCAGAAAAATTGTGTTCACTGGTCGATCAGAGCGCAAATCAATTTCGCGGTATTAACGGTTTGTTATATCCCCCAAAGATATACAATAGATATAACTATTAAAAGGTAACTAATATTAAGAAATGGGTACTCGTATTACATCCGCAATTACGACAGACACTGACCGCGTTAAAAAACGCATACAATGCAAGGTATACGCGAAATCAGAATTACGACAGATAATGACCGCGTTAAAAACGCATACAATGCGAGATATACGCGGAATAGAAATTGGTCAACGTGCAAGCAAAGCAGAAGGACTTTGAATCTGCTTCGCTTGCACCTAGATTCTCGACCGGGGAAACCTGTTGCCAGGCACCCCTTCCGATCGGGAAAACTCCAAAAAACAACGATATAAAAAGAGAGTAGAGACGCGACAACTCGCTCAGTCGCAGACACAAATAATCGCTCTAACCACGATCTCGCTAACCGCGCGCGCACTTAGCATCGACTCGCAGTTGTGCGCGATACGCGGAGTAATAGAAAGTCAGTGCCGCACACTCGTTAAAGCTTCAGTGTATTATTGGTGATAAATAATAACCAAGTGGTTGAAGTTGAATAAAGAATTTTAATACGAAAAGTGTAGTGCATTTTCTACAAACACCCGACAAGTCCTGACGCCCCGGATTCCCATCCCAATTTGGCGCGACCCCCTGGTGTCTCTCCCGAGGCACACAACAAATTGGTGGCAGCGGTGGGATTGCGCCGAAGGACCGTCAGGAACTACTCGGAGGAAGACCTGAAAAATACAGCAGTATTAATAATCAGGCACGTCGAACATAATAATCGACGGGAAGCGAACAAAACAGAAGCCGACGTATAAGCAGCAGCGTGCCGTACGTACAAGAAGACACACACACACACGGACAACGCATCAGCCGTCGGGAAGTAGGCCATCACCTAAGGACGCGACCTACGACAACACGGACAACGCATCGCACCGTACAACGACCCGCCGGATCACCTTACAACACCGGACCGCCAGCCGTATCAACACTGCCGAGCAATGATCTGCAGCGTCAGCGAGCGAGCGATAGTAATGGTAGCCGTATTAATGTAAGTCCGAATCAAACTTTTTATATATAAACTGCATGAATGTCGGAGGAAAGCGAAACACCCCGACAAGCGATAGCAAATAAATCGTGGTTACATAGCGACTCAGCCGAACGATCAATCAAAGCACTACCGATAACCTTAGAAAACCTCGAAAAAGTGCGAATAAAATTAGAAGCATATTATTCAGGAGAGAGCGACTCCGAATCATATACTCACGGGAAAGCCGAACGCGAATTTCCGTTTAACATTTTTGACGAAAGTTTATTTGAAAAAGGGGAAACCGACACCGTTAAAAAATTAAGAAAAGAAAGTAACGAACGCGTAAGACGAACTCCTAGCAACGGGTCACAACGCGGGGAATCCTTGCTTACATCATACGATAGTAGTATTTTCGATCCGAGCGAGTATCAGGACATGCTGCGAACACCGCCTAACGGTGGCATGGATGTGTCCGAGAGTGCCATCGACCGCGAGATTGACCGTCTACACGGTACAATAGCTCGCGACAATACTCGACTGGTGGAAGCCGACGTACATGCACCACCCCCTAATAGCGAAATAGGAACAACTAACCCCCGCGATACCAGACGATACATAGATAGACGCGTTGACGAAATCGAGGTGCGCGAAACTCCTAATTATAGGGAGGCCGGAATAGATAACCCTATGCTACGTGAGATAATGAGAGGCATGCGAGAACTACGTAGGGAAATGCTCACGGAAATAAACATATCCTAAAAAAATCATAAAAATGAAAAGGTCAGGCCATGTTCAAAAGAAGGTACTCAAAATTTTAAACCTTTAAAAATTTAAACGATCTAATAATAAATTATCACGAAAAGTAACTGATATGTTATTCAAGGTGCCAGTTCAAAGTGAACATACGTAAAGTAAATATTATCTAAATTTAGTAATAATATATTACCATGAAAAGTAACTGTGATATTTTATTCAAGGTGCAAGTTCACATTGAATATACATACATATAAGTAAAACTGATTACAATTTGATTCTAGAAAATAAGTGCGATATGTTATTCTTAGTGCACAAAATATAATAGTCGTTTATAGAGATTTGATTTGAAATTCATACTAGCCCGTACAATGAAAAATAATTGCTCGTAATTCCAGAGTACCAATTTGTTAATGACTCAGAAAAATAACATGGCGGCCTGCTCTCAAAAAACTATGATGTTTCTCGATGTCCATTTAGAAATAATGTCGAAGCTCTTACAGAATAATTACTACAACATTTGAAGTACGAAAAGTATTACATTAGAAGAAGATTAGATTAGAATAAGAATTCAACGTATTTTTAAAAGCTCTACACACACAACGAAGTGAATATACAAAACTATATACAAATACCTTTTTCTTCTGTGTTTCTGAAGAAAATTGTAAGTCAAATGAAACCTTGCACTTTGAGAACCATGTCACTTACTTTTCAGAGTCAAATTGATAAATTTGTTTTGTATATTTTAATGATATTTATTTCTCACTTGTATCTTGAATAATTAATATGTAATTTTTTATTGTATATTACGACAAATAATCAGTAAACTTTTTAAGCGTATAGCTTTATTGTAGTTGACCTGAGAACTGTACATTTATAAATTTTACTTAATATACACCCGTTTCGAGCAACAAGGCAAAGTTTTCTGATCAATAACTTACTCCCTGAAAATACGGTATAACACAAATCGGAAGTTGATACGAAAATTCGAAATTTTACTAAAGAAAGATTGAAGGTTTTTAATTTATACAATTTTCACAACTCTTATTTCAATTATTTATTCTACCCATCGAAAG